ATAACTCTTAAAATCTCAGACTTGGAGTGATCACACACAAGCAGTTTAATTAAGCCTGTGGTAAAGTCCACATTCCATAGCAGCATAACCCTCATTTTCCTTCTGGCTTCTGTCCAGAACTTACATCCCTATCATACATACATCATGGCATGTGTCTCCTGTGTCTTGCTTGTGCTGTTTTCTCTAATTCAGTTGCTGCTCAGACTCCACAAACTCAGCTCTGGCATACTGAGAGGATGAATGATTGATTCCCTTAGCCTCTCTGTTAACTCCATCATTCCAATTAAAATGAAGGTCTCAAGTTAGCCCTTAGTACTGGGGTGGGTGGGGGCAGGGTGGCACTTGCTAAGCAAGCACCCTACCACTGAACTAAAACCCCCACTCCTCTAGGTTAATTTCTGTCTTTGTTTTAGTTGTGGCTTTGTTAGAGGAGGAAAGATGAAATATCTCTAGCCCTTCCCTCAAGTTCCTTTCCATAAATTTTATTTATAGCGTTGGCCTGTCATTTTGCAGCCCAATTTTTTAGTAGCTGAAAGAAAAGAGACACCCTAATAAATTGTCTTCCAGTATAACTTGCCTATAGGGAGGAGACACATTGAACAAACTCAGAGAAACACTAAGTTCTCCCTTCCTCACCATCGATAAACATACTACTCATAAGTAATGAATTGCTACCTGGTATATTTTGAAAGTGGTGTTAAAATGTCTAGGTTTATCCAGTAACAAGACACAAACCGTGAACTCTACGGTCCCACATGGAGTTTTATTGGTGGACAGGGAAGAAAGGGGGCGTGAGGGGTAACCAACCCGTGCAGATCTGAGAGAGAGATAAGAAGATAAGATACAAGAGACAGAAAAGAGTAAGAGACTAGAGAGAAGAGAAAGATGAGAGTAAGAGAAGTGTAAAAGAGAGGATGAGATGATGAGAGAAAGTAAGAGAGTAAAAGAGAGCGTAAGCGGGCAGGGGTCTGCCCTTTAAAGGGGTCCTTTGCACCTGCGTGGTTCTCACAGAACTCTGGGCTGGCCAGAGTGTTGCCTGAGTGCATTTGCACTCAAGTTTTTGGACCACATCCATTGTTTATATATGTCACTAGGAGGAGAAGGGGCTGGACTTTGGGGATCATGCAGGATCAGATGCATCATCTAATAATGCTGGGATTCTGGAAACTACACTGAGTTCCTGTTTTTCCCTACATGCCCCTTCTCTCCTGTTGCTGTATAGCAGCTTTGCCAAGGATAAAGGACCTAGATGTCAAATCCTTTCTTCTCTGACTTGGCAGGGAAGCTGTTCTGGTTTCCAAGAAGCCATTTTTACACTTGGGGGCTTTTTCTCCTTTCTCTTATGGGAAGTTGCTTCATCATTTCCCAAAAATGTATGGCACCTCTTGTTTAAACTGGGTGATTTTTAAGAGTTTTGGAGCCTGCAGCAAGGGTGGGATTGTGAAATCTTTTGTTTGATGCTTGCTGCAAGTTGGAATGTGGGCTGTCTGTAGGCAGAAGTCTGTGTATTGGCTAGGACTGAGTCAGGAGTGGCCTGTAGAAAAGAGAAACTCCCTGGGAAACAAGAACCTTGGGTGCTTTTGAGCATTTGGCTTGTCTATGAGCGGTATCAGCCTTCTGGACACAGGCTCTGTCTGGTGTTTTTCCAGTGACTTAAATGTGCTCCAGTAGCTCATGGCTGCTGGACAAGAACACACATTTTAAAATAGTGAACATAACATTGTAGAATTGTGTGCTTGATTGTTGCGATTGGACTTGAGTTTGGAGAAGGAGATGCTAAGATACAGTTAGCATCTTGGGCCCCAGTTTAACTGTGGAAAGGCACATATTTGGCCCAAACCCCAAGACTTATAGAAATTGGCAGCTTTTGAAAGATTCTGAAAGAGACATCACGAGGAAAAATGTGCTTAGAGGTTAACCTGTAAGAGCAAAGTGAGTAGCCTCTAGGTAGGCGCAGCAAGAATGGCAGCTGCCATAGTTGAGAAGGAAATCATGAAGTTAGCATTGGGGAGAGGGGGTGGCTGACAGATGTTTGTCTTTGTGTGAGGAGATCGTGCAGTGATGGCACCAGTTTCTCTCTCCTCTCGGAGCCTTGCAGCTGAAGCCCTGGGCCGGTGCTGCCAACCCTGATCAGCTGTTGGTGCTGCCCTGAGTAAAGCTTTAGCCAGTTTCTCCTCCCGGGGTAGGTGAAGCGCCCAGTGATCCCCGTCATTTTAGGGTGAGATTGGCTGAAGGTTGCTGCTCAGCTTCTGGGGACATCAGTCACCTTGTGTGTGGTAGCTGGCAGTGAAAAGGTGTTTCTGAAAACCCTAACCAGTGTTTAGTCAAATAGTCTTCCCTTGTATCTGCCCCCTTACAAATTTTCAGTAAGAAACTTGGGAAGCATTAGGGTTTTATTAAAGGAAAAGAGATAAGTCAAAAGGTGTTTTATTTATTTAATTTTATTTGGGGTTTTTTGGTTTTTTCAACACGGGGTTTCTCTGTATAGCCCAAGCTGTCCTAGAATTCAATCTGTAAGCCAACTGGCCTCAAACTCAGACATCTGCCTGCCTCTGCCTCCAGTGTTGGGATTATAAAGGTGTGTGCAACCACTACCCAGCTAATAAAGCTGGTTTGGTTGGCAAAAGGGTGTTTTTAATAGAGAGAATCTAGCTGTTGCTCATAGTGAGAAATGGAAATTGGGGAAAATAATATTTATTAAGAGATTCTGTGGGAATGAATAGGCATAAATGTACTCATCTCAAAAATCTATTAATTCCTCATGGAAGTGGGAAGGTAAAATGTTTTCCTACAGAAAGTGAATGCATTTCCCTTCCAGCTGCTGGTCCTGGGTGGAGCTGTCACTTCCCACAGACCTGGTTCAGGTGCTTGGCAGAAACCCAAGGCATGGCCTGTAACCTTAGAAAGAGAGCATTTCTTTGTGAATCAGCCCATTTGTTGCCAGGCCAGGATGAGGCTCCAGCAAGGAATTTGGGGCTCGTAAGGCAGAAGTGCTAAGGAGGAGGCCTGAGTTTTCAACATTTGTCCTTAGAGCAAAACAAAAACAAAAACATTCCTCTTCTCTTGAAAGCTTCTGTTTGGGTCTGCGTTGTGAAGTATCTCATTATAGTTGGGTAACAGTCCCCCTAAAACAGCCCTCTCATCTACAGAACTTTGCAGTTTGTCCTTGTTTTTTGGTCCTACGATGAGAAGATTGAGGGTACTTAGGAAGTGCTGAAGGTGAGAGCACCAAGCCTAGCGTTCAGAATCAGACCTAAAGCATATATGCCCTTTTTCAGCTGAGTGGTTTTGTTTTGTTCCACAGGGCATTGTCTAGTTGTATGGAGAAGTGAACACATTGATTCTGTTTGCCATAGGCTGGTTCCAGTTAGAGAAGAAACTATTGTGCTACTAATACTATTCCACCAGGAGGCCTGGCTGGAAGCATCTGAGGGCTCTATCTGCATATTTGACAAGTCTTTTCAACAAAGTGTAGGAGCTGGAGAAGCCCAGGATGAGCTGTCTTGAGAATAGCAGGCTTGTATAGGTGCTGACTAACTTGACTTCCCTTAGGAAGCACAGCAAACCTCTGACTCCAGATGCAGGCCTGTTTTCTGGGAAATGCAGGTGTACATGTTAAGTGCCAGAGATCCTTGGTCATAGCTACATTCCTCATTTGCAGGTGAGGGCACCTAAGAATATATTTTCTCTACTTGTATCTGAGCCCTTGGAAGTGAGGACCTCCAAAACAAACTGAACAGTTTACTTCTGGACATTTAGGAGCAACCTGCTTTCTGATTGTTGTAAATCGGTACCCAAAAGCCTCTGAGTAATAAGTTTGGGCAGCTGATAAAGAACTTGATGGACACCATCCTGTGAAAGCAGATTCATGCTCTGAGCTGTGTGTTCCCTCTACTCTATAGCAGAACTTTTAGAATCGAGCCTTTATTTTGTAAGGTTAAACTGAAAATGAATAATGAAATTACTGGTTCCGGTTATAAGATGGGTAGGTCTTACAAAGTTGACATCCTTGAGAAATTTGGAATTTAGTCAGTGACTATGTCAGAGGTGGGGGTGGGGCAGTGAGGGCAGAATATTTACTTGAGTGTGAGTCAGCATCTCTGCTCAGCTATGAAGAAGAAAATACATGCACACTATTGTATGAAATACCCAGGTTGTGCTGTCCCCAGTTGTAGTCAAGAGGCAGCGTATAGTTAGGCATTTTAGTGTCTTTTTCTGACTGAGAACATGACTTCCTTTCAATATGTAAGTCCATTGTGTGACACTATCTGGACCATTCAGGAAGTAGGGGAACAGGTTCTACTGTAACTTTAAGTCATACAGAAGTAAAACTTTGTAAATATAAAGGCCTTTCTAGAACTGTGAGAATGTTTTTTGGAATATATTGTGTGGGTATCTAGCCTCTTCATGTATTAATGGCTGCACATTTTACTTATTCATATATGTTCATTTCTATCATCTTCCACTTAGATATATTTAACCCATGGTTTTGTTTGTTTGTTTTTGTTTTTATTTTTCAAGATGGGGTTTCTCAATGTAGTCCTGGCTGTCCTAGAACTCACTTTGTAGGCCAGACTGGCCTTGAACTCACAGAATTCTGCTTATCTCTGCCTCCTAAGTGCTGGGATTAAAGGCATGCATCATCACCACCCACCTTTAAGTCTGTAAAATAAAAGCTACCCTGTTCAAATATTGTTAGCTTTTTCTAACTTGCAAAGCCTCAAGTTTGAGGAATAAAGAGAACCATTAAACAGTAAACCAGCTGCTAAACTGTGAACCTTTTCTATTTTCCAACCCTTGTCCCCAACTTTGTGAGTATTGAGTTGTTAAGTGTGTGCTTTAATTAATAAGGTTTTTAGGGGAAACTAATTAATATCCCACACTGGGTTACCATTGTCCTAGAAAAAAAATCTCTAATTATAATAGTATTGGGAGCCTCTTCAATGTCTGGCTGGTCACTGAGTAGATTTGATAAGCATATAGTGTCTTTCATACTTGCTGTTACAAGATTTTAATTAAGAGAATTCAGCTGTGGCACCAGCTGGGGATGTCTGGTGTTGTAGAAGATTGCAATTAGATGCTGTGTATTCTATCTTCTTTTTTCCCTTTCAGCTTTGGTGGAATGCCTTTGAGAAGGAGCTCTTAGTCTCAGCAGTATAAATACTTTAATATGCTTAATTATGTAATCATACAGTTATACTCCTCTGTGTACATACACGTCATTTTATGGATTCTTTAGTCTCTCTTCTAATACTGAAACCTCTAGCCTGCTTTTTGGTTGGAGGCAAATAATGCATTGGGGGAAAAAAGGAGGACCAGAGGCATTTAGTGATTTTTTTTTTCACTCTGGTTATGCTCTATCCTTCTGTCTCTCTACTTTATGGTGAGTCCTTTGGTATCTAAAATAATTAACATCTCATTTTCCTAGCAAATTCTAGGCAGTCTCTGTAACATTAGATTTTTATAATACTCTTATCCTCTATTAATTTACAGATAGAGTCTTTTAAAGTAAATGATGTCATTTTTCCCAATCTTCTGTTCCAAGTACATGAAGGGCATGAGCCTGGGATAGGAGAGTCTGACATGCAGGCAGGCACAGTGGGACCTATTGATTTCTGGCATTGGGTTTGTGCAGAGGACCTGTGACCCAGCTGTTAGAACTAGAACCTGGGAACAGCTGCTTTCTGGGATCCAGTCCTCTGGGGATGCACTCCATCTGCTGCCATGTGACAAGTCCTGGAAAAGAAATTGATCCCAAGTCATCTTTGTATTCCTTTTCTCTTCACCCTCCAGTTCTTTTCCTGTCTCCTTGTAAACCTGAGAAGCAAGATGATTGTACTGGAAAACTTCATGATTTCTCCCCCCCCCTTCCTTATTCTGCTTTACTGTGCATCCAATTCCACTGGGAAGCATTTATTTCAGGGGATATAAGCAGATGTATAGACCTGGCTTCTTCAGGAGAATTAGTACCATAAAGCAGACTTTCATTTTATTATGAGCAGTGCACTTCTGCATTTTAGGGCTGAAAGGATTCTTCGAATGTTCATCTCTTGGGAGAAGAACCCAAAGGTTCACATTCCTAGTCTTGCATTCAGGCCCTTCCCTAATTATCTGAATCAGACACCAGCCTGACATCTCTCCACTGCTTTCCCCTAAGATAGGAACTGACCATGTAGGCCTGGCTGGCTTGAATTTGTAGCCTGGCTGAGGCTTCTCAGTGATGAGATTAAAGGTATAAGGTGCAACGCCTACTTTACCAGCCTGGTTTTTCTAAATCTCTTGTCTCCTGCCAATACTGGAGGTATTTGTTACTTGTTATACACAAGCCACCTCTTTTTGTGTCTGTCTTTGCCCTGTTTCCACCCTCAGTGGGTTCTTCCTGCTCTGCTGCTTATCTCTGTCACATGCTTTATCCTGTGGTCACGGATTCTATTTACCCTCCAATTGGAACTCAATTTATTCTACTCCTCGTCACTTCTTCATTGGGTTAGTCCTTTTTCAAAACCTCTTATATCCCTTATTGATTTATGCTGTGGTCATTTATTAGACAAGAGTCCCCCAAGAGAGTAGGTCTTTTTCATCATGTTACCTGCCTCCTTCCATTGCCTGGTACAGTGCTTGGTACTTAGTAAAACCTTCTCAAGGGAATGGATGGGCAAATGTAATCCTTACATGAACTCTGAAGCTTAAACAGAGTAGATGTTACTATTATAACATACTGGGGGCTCTTTGTCTATAACCTAGAGAGACAGACTGGAGTCTCTTCAAGGACAGATGCTGTATTATTTGCTCTTGAGTTTGTAGTACCACCCTGGGACATAGTAAGTATTCAGTAGATGATTCCTAAGTTAATGAAGAAATTTCTGTTAAGAAAGCAATTTCTAGAAACAATAGAATGAAAACTCTTAATTATTATCTTTTAGGTAGTTATTAAATCTACTCTTTAGAAAGGTAAGAGTAAAGGGTGTTTCTGTTTATTATATGTTGCATTTGTATGTTGCTGTCTGTAGACACACAGTAGGTAGGCTCAGCAGTAGACACAGAGTAGGTGAGGCCCTCAACAACAAAGAAACAGAGACCCCGAAACCCTTAGCAACAGTATAAATACTCTTAACTGTTCATGATCAGCTGGCACAATTTCTCTTTGTGGGACATGCAAACCAAACCATGACAAGCTGCTTTAATGGTGTTGTATGCGTGAGACAAGGTGATTCAAAATCTTGTGACTTAACATTATTTAAAGCTGAGAGTTCCATTCCCTACAGCAGTGGTTTTCAACCTTCTAATCGCTGTGACCCTTTAATACAGGACCTCATGTTGTGGTGACCCCTAAGCATAAAATTATTTTTATTGCTACTTCCAACTGTAGTTTTGCTACTGTTATGAGTTGTGAATATCTGATATGCAGAACATCTGATGCAGCCCCTGTGAGGCTCGAGAAGCACAGGTTGAGAATCACCCCCTACAAGGTGGACAAGAAAGAATACCCAGATCTTGGGATGCTTTTGCCTCTTTCTACCCATATACTCTCATTGCCTTGTTTCTGAGATGTTTGGGGTTCTGAAAAAAAACAAAACAAGATCTATATACTCCTGATAGCACCCTCTATCCTCTTTATGACCTGTTGTCCCGACACATGAGAGGGTGAACAGATACACATCCTGTGCAGAGTGCATAGAGCTCACTTCATAGTATGTCTTAGACCTTGTCTAATCTCCTTGAGAAAACAACGTTCAGATCTTTGAGTGCTTTTCAAGACCCACGATATGTAGCCACTGCCTCGATGGAGCTCTGTGACCACCCATAACTAGGGTTTACTGAATGCCTCGTTTTTCTAGGTTGTTCAGGCCTCTGTGAGTACCAGTGCCTGTTGAATATGGAAGCAGCATGCACTTCCTGGCTCACTGGTGATATGTTGTAGAGCTGTTTGAGGTTCAGTAGAGCTACTTCAGTGGCCCTGTGAGTCTGCATTTAGTGGTAACATCAGCTTGCATTTCACTTCTGAAAATGTATCCACCCTTCCAAGGTGCATCTTTGGGATCTGAGATCTTTAAACAGCTCCATTTGTAGTAAAGAAAACTGACCTTTTCTCCCCCACTTTGTTGGGGAAATATTGCCTACAGGTGTGTGAACCCTGGAGGCCTCTATGTATACAAGCAAACACCCCAACTTTATTCTGCTCCAGAAAGGAGTTGTACTACCCTGTATTTGTGTTTCTCCATGCGATATACTGCATTGCAGGGGAGTTTTTCTTGTGACATCTTGTAATCAGGGCGATCCCATATAGCACACATAAGGGCAAATCAGAGTTTGAACAGATTCCACAATTCAGTAGCCATGAGTAAATTTGTCAGAGCCTTAGTTTCTTAGTCTGACTAAAATCTCATTACATGTTTCTTGTAAGGAGGGAGAATTGAGTAGGATTAATGTAGTGCTGTTGGTAAATTTTAATTTTCTTCCTCATTTGCATCTCCTAGGACAACGGAGACTAAGTTTGTTTTACATTTAAATGCATGCTTCTTAAATGGATATGACTAGACATTACTTTTAGCTGGTAGAGGAAGTGAAGCTACAACTTGACCTTTGTACACAAGCCTCTAATTCTGTTTTCCCTGAAAGCTCTCAGGTTTCATAGCTACCCTCTGACAGTGTCTAAGCAGCTATATAGGGCTTCCTCCTGCAGGTGGAATTCTGAGGGCTAATGCATACCATTAGATAGCTTATGCAGGAGCTATGGTGAGGATGAGGCTGGTGGCCATTGCTACTGAGGAAGAAATAAACTCCTGATTTCTCTTGACCTTTCTCTACCATCCAAGGTAGCACAGTAATATGTTAGCACACCCAGAATGCCCTGCCTCCTTAGCTTTGTGGCCATCTTTCTGTCCTGGGTCTACAGGACAGCTGTGAGCTGTGCTCTTCAGCTCACTGAACTGGGAGACTGGTGGCCTGGGCCTGGAGTAGCAGGATAAAGGAGAATGCCCTCCTGCCTGCCCCGATCAGCAGTCGTAACAATGGGAAGGGGAAAGGACCTAGCCCAGCTGCCAGCCTGTTCTCCCCTCCTTCCTGGGCTGTGAAAACAAGAAGAGGTGAAAGGGTACCAGGCCATCTGGAGGCCATTTGTCAGCCAAGTGCTGCTAAGCTCTGCAGCTGGAAGGGGAAGGGGAACGGGAACGGGCTGGCTCGCTGCACAGATGGAGATGGTGCTTCATACTGCTGTTTTCTTTTTTGTAAAGTCTTTGTCCTGCCCCATCCAAAACTCAGAATATGGGGTTTACTTTACTCTGTGAAGTTAATGTGAGAATGTTTTAGGCCTGTTGCATGTGCAGCATGATAAAAGCATTTTTATGAATGTTTTTATTGAGTGGCTCTTCACACTGATAGAAAAAGATACTGCTATTAAGTAAGGCTCAAAAGAAGACAGGGCAGTAACAGGCCACAGAGTGAATCCTCGGGTCAAACTCAGATTGTTCTGTTTGACACCTCTTATCCCTTCTGGCCTGATCCTGTTAGGCAGGCAAAATATTTTTATGATTAGCTAGATGCCAATTTACAAAACAAGAGATTTACTTGCAGAGAGATTCTCTAGTTAGAAGCAAGACAGGGATTGTAGTGGGCAGGGTTTTGCGAGCTCCATACCATTTTCTACTAAGTATTTACTATCTGTCATATTATTTATGAAGCACTGGGGACCAAACATGAGCAAAAACAATCCCTGTCCTCTAGTGTAGACAGATGGGTGGTGGCATTTAGTGGAGAAATAGAGGAAGGGTAACTTGTGGAAAAATAAATGCAAAAATAATATAGTTGTAGTTTATCAAGAGGAATGCAATTGTTACAGGAATGCAGGGGGAAATAATAAAGGTCTGCTTACTGAACACTTAGCATGTAACAGACCCCGTCCCAGGCACTTGTCCTGTATATTGGGATTAATCTTCACAAAAACCTTTGTATCCCCCTGCTTTAGATGAGGAAACTGAGGAATAGATCTTCCTAAGGCTGTAATGGGTAACTTTTAAAGGCAACTAACAAGCTAGGCATTTAATTCTGGGCCCACACTGACAAATTGTAGCCTGTGCTCTCTGGCAGTGGCTGGAGAGGTGTTCAGGAGCGACAGCCTTGGAATCCTGAAACATAAAAGTGGGAGTTTCACCTGGGTGTATGTGCTTTAAGGTCAGGATCCTTGGCCAAGGAGAACACTTTATTCTGAGTGACTAAGGGCTTTTTGTATCTCTCCAGGTAATAAGAGTTGCCATGTTTAGACAATAAACGAAAACACTTTTCCTCTTCTGAGGCTACTGGTTATGAAAGAGGGAAGGAAGGAGAAGGAAGAGTCCAGTCCTAAAATAAGAAGTCTCTCAGCTAGACTTGTCTGCCAGTTGCTGATGTCCCAGAGCCAGGCTTGAGCTAGGCCTTTCTTGGGAAGATGATGGGGACTAAGAAGGGCTGCAGGAAGACAGCCTGTGTGGTTCCTCCCTGTGCTCTCCTGCCCCAGCACAGTGCCATGCCCCGAGAAAGGCTTGAACTACGGCAGACTGTCCCTACCCACAGTGTGTGGGAAGGTCTCTAAGAAAAGAGATTCTGGCTGGACAATGGGCTTCCTGTCTGACTGCTGGGAAGATTTGTTTTATATGAGAAGGTTGCAAATGGCATGAGAAATCATCTTGATTCCCTCTCACTGCAGCCTGTGATTTTTATAAATGAACCTCTCAAAGAGGTGGTGATGTTAATAACCACATAGTCAACTTCAGACAGGTTTTCAATGTCAGAAGTGACCTCCGAGGTGTTTTAGTTTAGTGCCATCGTGTTCTAAAACAGGCCTAGAAATGACCTTAGTGTTTGCTTACATTGTCCAGATTGTCCTTGTTGCTGAACTTCTCACTGAGTTACCTATGGCAGGTTAAGGTTTGGAGGAGAAGCTAGGCTCTGAGACCTCCTGTTATATGTTGTGCTAACTTTACCTGCTGTTTAGCATTATATAAGTATCTTAACCTCTCTTCCTTAGTTTGCTCGTGTATTAGGAGTATATTTAAGGTGTGTGTGTGTGTGTGTGTGTGTGTGCGTGCGTGCGTGCGTGCGTGCGTGCGTGCGTGTGTGTGTGTGTGTGTGTGTGTGTGTGTGTGTGTGTTGTGAAGCATACAGGAGTTCCATGTGTAAACTGCTTAAAATAGTGCCTGGCATATATCAGTAAGCATGAGCTGCTAAAACTCAGCTTGTGAAAGGCACTTCACAGAAACCTGTGGCCACCACCAGATGGTCTCCTCCTCTTCCTCTTCCTCCCCTTCCTCCTCCCCCTCCTCCCTCCTCCCTTCTGTATTTATAATGCTCTAATTCCAATTGTCTGGAATACTTTTTCACCTTCCCTTTGAACAGGCATGCATGGGTCAGCCTTGTGGAAAACCACTCAACTCAAAAGAGCCTCCTTGTCCTCCTGTGAAATGCTTCATGGAGAAGGAACTCAGGAACGTGCTTGGTACACCTAGACAACTGTTACAGTAACTGCTGCTTCCTGTACAAAACAATACAACACATTTGAAAAACTTCACTTTCCAGAATTTCCTTGTCTTCTCTCTGGCTCTGCTACTAGTAAACTGGAAGTAAAAATTGAACCTTTACATATCAAGAGTTTCACAAGTGAATAAATAGCCCTCTTCTAAATAACCTTAAAGGGTCCTCTGTGTGAAATGCTAGGATTTTTACATGACTGCTTTTTTTTTTTTAAACACCTCACTGTGTGGCCTAGGGGGTTCTTGAACTCAGAATCCTCCTGCTTCAGCCACCTGATGCTGGAATTATATATAGGAGTGTAGACACCACACCTGACCGTGTCTCAGCTATTATATAAATCTTTCTGGGTTTTTTTGTTTTGTTTTGTTTTTGTCTTTTTTTGTATCCTCTAACCCTTCTTCCAATATTTAGCCAAGACTCCTTTCAGTAAGATTCTACTGACTATCAACATTAGCCTTTCCTAGTCCTATGTTAGTTAGCTTTCTCTTACTGTGACAAAGTACTTGAGAAAAGCGACTTCAGTCCACAGTCACTTGAGCCCATGGCAAGGCAGAACATGATAGTGGGAGCACATGAGGAAACAGCTGGCCATGAAAAAGAGATTGTGGGGCGGGGGTTCATACTGCTAACAAACCAAGGAATTTGGACCCTAGGCTCTATTCATAGCATTATGCTCTCTGCCTTATTACGATCTTTATAGCCCTCCTAAAGACACAGGTGGAAAGAGATTCCTCTAATTGTTTTCTGCAATTACAGCTCACTCAGTAGGACATGTACAGTACTATCTCAGCCCTGCTCCAATGATCACCTCTCTAGAGTTGATGCTTGGACCTGGGACCCTCTTTCTCTTCCCCTCCCCCACCCTCAGTCCCCAGGAGAGCTTCTCTGGCCATCCATCTTCTTTCAAATCAAACACTTTTTTAAGATTCATTTTTTATTTTATGTGTATGAGTGTTTTGCCTGCATGTGTATCTGTACATCGTATGCATGCAGTATCTGTAGAGGCCAGAAGAAGGCATTGATTGGATCCCTTGGGATTGAAGTTATTGATGATTGTGAGATATCTTATGTGCTGCTAGGAATGGAACCTGATCTTCTGGAGGATCAGTCAGTGCTATTAACTGTTGAGCCATCTCTCCAGTCCCCTAAACAGCTGTTTCTTTGTGCTCATTTGTATCCCAAATGCTAACATACTGATTTTGTGACGCTATTATTTCAGTCCTGCGAGTGAACACTTGACATGGCAGTTTGTTAGCCCCGAGACTCCTGTGTTTGATAGTATTGTATTTTCTTGGTGACTGTTAGGCAGAAACCTCTTTTGTTTAGTCTTTTGAAAATACGCTAGATATTTAAATGTATGCCTGCCCTTGTCACCTCTAATCCCTTAGAGACTGGATGCTGCAGCTTCTTTCTGTAGCTTCCTACTTGTTTTGAAAGGGTTCAAGTATTTGTATGTTTACCTCAAGGCCTTTCCTGGAGTTTTATTTTGTTCTTTGAACTGTTACAAAAATTGTTTCCTCTGGTCACCAAAACACAAAGGCAAGACAATTTGGGGTTCTTGTTGATTTTTGAGGAGTGTGTTAGGCAAAAGTGACCCTAAAGTAGAAACTTCAGCTGGGTCTTTTCTCTCAAATTTGTGTTCTCACTGCTTCCTGACTAGATGGTCACTGAATGCTCACAGTGTGTTAGTTCCCCCTGGAGACATTGCCTTCTGGTTGGTTAGCCCCTTCCCTTGAGGATTTACTTTGCTATGTGAAAGTAAACAAAGAAATATTAATATCTGTCTTGTACTTGGTATGGTACAAGACGGTTTCAATATTACTTTACTCAAAATCTTTGGCTCTAAGTATTGCTGTTGAGCAAGTCTCAGAGAAGACAGTATTTACCAGGTGGGGCCCAAGTATCTATCTGCAGGAGCTAGCAGAGTGCAGAAAGCAGCAACTGGGAGATTGAGTTTTCCGTGCAGTCATCTGGCTTCCTGTCCCTCTTAAAAATTAAGTAGTATTGCCAGATCAGCTGAGTTCATTGTCTTCCCAAGGTTAAGAACAAAGCTTTAACTTCCTCTCTTTAGTGAGGAATTGTCAAAGGAAACCTGGCAGTGGTGGCAAAGCCTTTAATCCCAGCACTTGGCTGGCAGAGGTAGACAAATCTCTGAGTTCAAGGCCAGCCTGGTCTACAAATGAGTTCCAAGACAGCCAGGACTGTTACACAAAGAAACAGTGTCTTAACAAAACAACAAAAAGAAAACCTGAAGTGTAGGTTGTCAGTCTCCTGGCCAAGACCGTGGCTTCCAGAAATTCCTGGGTGTTTCATTGCCTTGTGAGCTTTGGTTTTCCTGAATGTTCTTCCCTTGCCTGTAAACTCCAGGCTTCACTGAAGGCCTATGTTTTAGCTCTTCCCCATAGTCTCCTCTTTGTACTAAAGAGCAATATTTTTACGTGTGTGCCCTTGATATCTCAAAGTGACCTTGCCTGTTCTGTTCCTGACCTTTCATTCTAGAGCCTCCTTATTTTCTTGAGCCTGGTTCTGACTGTCTTGATGCTGAACCTACAGTATTCCAGTTTGTTGCCTTTGAGTGACTTTCATAGATAAACTCAAATACTTTTTATACTAAGTTTATTTTTGCTGTACTGCTGAAATAATCTGGTTCACCTTAGATTAGATTCATCTCTTTTTGTAAAGAACCTTAAACATATAGCACATTGTGAGGCAAGGTCCTCGCTAAGGTTTTGGGAAACTTTGGATTCTCCTCGCTTGACTTACATTCTCCAATCTCATTGCATTTGCTTCAGATTGCCCCTTCCCCTCCTGATGAAAAGAAGCCTCATCTGGGGCATCACTTCTCCCAGAGGTGTTCTGAGTCCCCATACAAGCTGTTATTTCTGCTGCCCTTGTGTTCCCTCTCTTGAAGTAGCAATCCCATCCTTCGGGACATATTAGAACAAATCTGCATGCGGAGATATTTTAGAACCATAAGGGAAACTACATGCTATCTTTGGAGGGAACTGATTGGCCAGAGCACAAGAAGATGTCTGGATTTTCACTGTATAACTTATTTTCTAACTTTATGCCACATATATGATGAGATCCTACCTATGGGATTTGCAGGGGAAGGGAAGGTGTAGCAGAGTAGCCCTTCTCTGAGAGCCTCTTCCGAGAACACTGGCCTCTGTGGGTCCTGTCTTCTCTCAGAAGCCACCCAGAATGTTCAGCATTAATTATGCTCCGGAAATGAACCAATTAGACACAGTCTGCAAAGAAACAAATGTCAGTCAGAAGATCTGAGGGGGTTTACTACTCTGAACAAAAGATGGAAAATGAAGTAGTAAGGCAGCTGGTTTGCTGGCCAGCTCTCTGAATGACTTGACCAAAACTTTGAGAACTGTAGAAATGCTTGTATTCTCTTCCCTCCTGCTCAGGACTTTGAGTTAAGTGTGTGGTAAGGATATCTATGTATGTGCAGCCTGAGGGTGAGGATCTTTTTTGCAACTAACACCTTTCTGCAGCCAGACTCCATAGTAGCATTCTGGGTCAGCGCTACTGGGAGTTGCAAGGGTATATCTGCAGACTGTGATCTGTGGGGCATTCACATGGAAGTCAGCCAGGGCCTTACCGTGCTAGTCAGACAGTCCTGTGTAATTCCCAGCCACTCTGAGCCTCTTAGAGGAAGTGAGAAAAGGAAACCAGCAGTCTGATTCCCACACAGATGTCTCTGTGATCGAGGGGATAGGCTGGCATGTAGTCAGCAAAACTGAATTTCCTTTGGAAAATCTTTGTTGTAGCTTGTGTTTGTAAAACATTTGGAAAGTTGGAGGTCATGAGTGCCTGTTGCCTTCTCCGAGGCCAGCCTTTCAGAGATTCCGTAGTGCCCCACTGGACTCCTCAAGTGTGGCTAGACACACCCCCTTGCACTGCCTGACTTGGGATTAAGTTCTATAATGTCTGACATAGAAATAGTTTTCCTTCCCCTAAGAGCTGCTTAGACCTCCCAGTTCCTGTGACCCCCGCGACAGCTTTTCTAAACCACAGTACCACCCACCCGGTTTGCCATCCTAGTTGGCCCAATTGAGGGAGTGAAAGGAGGTGATCTTGGTACGTAACTTTACAAATCAACTGCTTGTAGGATAGGGATTAGGTCTCATGGGAAAAAGAGCTCGAGGTTAGAATCAGAAGTCCTGACTCTGGTCACCCTGCCCTAATCTTGCCTAAAAGTTGTTTCACTTTGTGAGATTTAGTATCCTCATCGTCAGAGGGAAGAAATGATAACTACCTCATAGAATCCTAAGAGATGACAATGACTTTAAAACTAAGTTGTTATCCCTAGAAGAGAAGTGTGGGGTTTATTGTGACAGAGGCAAGAGAAGCCTGGCAGACAAGAGAAGGTGCACAGGTTTGGGAAGCCTCCCAGGAAAGCTCTCTGAAATCCTCTCAGAAGCCAAGCTCATGCTTTGATTATACCAGGGAGTCCTTCCCCGCACTGATGTTGTAAACAGCCTAACACTTGCCATAATGAGCTGTCCATGCTTTATCCCCTCTCAGTCTGACTCACTGTTAGTAGGCACTGTTCGAATCAGGTATAAATTGCAGCAGGTGCAGAACTTTTCTGGAGTCTACCGTCCAGTGGGGAGAAGAGAAATGCTGTAAGCAGCCAGACTTGGCTGGTGCACTTCCTCCTCTGTCAGTGACAACTTGAATTCATACTAGTTAACAGGCTTTTCCAAGGATGGTTCTATGCCCCTCATATTTCGGGGCCATGCTACTGAGAGCCCATGCCCATTGAAAGCCTGACTGTGATACCATCTCTCTCTGTCTTTGCAGTGTGTCCTCTGCCTCCAGAGCCAGAAAATGGTGGCTACATTTGCCACCCCCGGCCCTGCAAAGATCCCTTGACAGCAGGCAGTGTCATCGAGTACCTCTGTGCGGAAGGCTACATGTTGAAGGGCGACTACAAATACCTGACCTGCAAGGATGGCGAGTGGAAGCCAGCCATGGAGGTCAGCTGTCATCTCAATGAAGGTCAGTCTACATGTGAAATGGGGTGCTGCCTGGGTCCTGCTTTTTTCCTAGCTTCTGAGGAGGGAGCATGCTTTCTCGAGAGCTCCCTTGGCTGTATTAAGCCCTTCGGCCTCTCTTTCTTTGGTATTCCATGTCTCTGTGAATGTCATTGGTTGCTGGTGCATGTCACGTTGCATTCCACTGAACCGTTGAGAAGCTCTGTGTCTTTATTGAGGCATCTGCCTGACTATGTAAAATGCCTTTGATGTCAGGATCTCTGTTTGCCTAGTCAGGTGCTGATGGCCTTAGGCTGTGTTCTGTCTGCTAGCACAGTGAGCAATGAGCACAGTGCTAACACATCTTCCAGTGTCTCTTCCATTTCGTTTTTCCCTTGAATAGAAAGTGACAGTTTTGTTATGGAGCTATAGCCCCGCTGTACAGAATCTGTCTTTTTCCTTCCTGCCTCCTCCTGTCTAGCATGACAGGAAAATGCAGACTCCTAAAGGGATGTGTGGCAAAAGCATTCTCTCTGCTTCACACTTGGGCTTCAAAACCAGAGCATGCTTAACCTATAACACCTCGGAAGAGAATGGGAAACAATGTGGGGTTTACAATGGCGGCTGAAGGACTTAGGACAGGACCTTATTATTTGCCCGCTTCTTAATTATCCTGCCGTATTGGGGGGGGATATGGTGGAACTCAAGGTGGTAGAAAGATGTGGCCCTTTTAATTGTTGATGTTTGCCGGCTTGCCATTGGTGTTTTAAGAACTCTAGAGTTAAGTGAGTTTAGGTACCAGTTGAACTGAGTGAGTAAGGTGGGCATCTTATTCAGTGAACAGGAAAAGGAAGTGTTTCCAGAAACACTGTACATACATAGACCACTTTATAAGATTTCCCTGAAAAGGTCCAGTTGTCAAATACATATTTCTGTATATTACCATGCACATCATCCACAGAGCCCATGTGCTATGTTTCTGGGTACCAAATGTGTGTGATGATTTATTTCCTTAGACAAAGAAACTCACGCGTCGCTCGGGGTCCCCACGCTGTCCATAGTGGCTTCCACTGCCAGCTCTGTGGCACTCATTCTTCTCCTCGTGGTGCTGTTTGTGCTGCTGCAGCCAAAGCTAAAGTCTTTCCATCATAGCAGGTGAGCACATTGTTAGCCAGGCATCCCCACGAGACCAGCCTTGGACTGTAGCCTCTGCTAGTCTGTATCTTAGGGAAGTGGAGAGAAGGAAGTGGGTGTTAAATTCCTGGATGTGCATGTGACTGTACTAGTTGGTTAACATACATTACTTTGATTACATTTCAACATCACAGACAAAGAAACTGAGATATTCATGTTATATCTCAGGATGACTGCAGAATTGAGATTTGAACCTAAATCTGTTCACCCTCAAAGCCATGGCATTTCCACTTATCTCTGGATTGTGGTTTGAGCTAAGGCGCAGTGATAGGATTTATAGCTCTCTGTATGATGTGGATACCTCTTCCTGCCCCTTGTTTCTAATCTTCAGTGCACCTCAGCTTCCCCAAATTCTGATTTATTTGGTTTCAAGTGGTGTCTTAGGGTACTGTAATGAAACACCAAGACCAAAAAAACAAGTTGGAGAGAAGGGTTTATACTTCCACATCCATAATCCTTCTCTGAAGATGTGGACAGAAATTTAAACAGGGCAGGAACTAGTGCAGAGGCCATGGAGGAGTGCTGCTTACTGGCTTGCTCCTTATGGCTTGCTTAGCCTGTTTTCTTACGGAATTCAGGACTACCAGCCCAGGGATGACTTCACCCACAATGGGCTGGCCTTCCCACATCAATCACTAATTGAGGAAATGCTCAACAGGCTTGCCTACAGCCCAGTGTATGCAGGCAATTTCTCAATCGGGATTCTCCTTTTAGACGACTCTAGTTCAGTGGTTCTCAATCTGTGGGTCACAACCTCCTTGTGGGTCAAGTGACCCTTTCGTAGGGAGTCCCATATTAGATAATTATATTACAGTTCATAACTAAAAAAATTAGTTATAAGCCGGTCGTTGGTGATGCACACCTTTAATCCCAGCACTCGGGAGGCAGAGGCAGGAGAATCTCTGTGAGTTCAAGACCAGCCTGGTCTACAAGAGCTAGTTCCAGGACAGCCTCCAAAGCCACAGAGAAGCCCTGTCTGGAAAAACTAAAAAAAAAAAAAAAAAAATTACAGTTATGAAGTAGCAATGAAGTAATTTTATGGCTGGGTGGCCACCACAACTGAGGAACTGTATTAAGGATGACAGCATTAGGAAAGTTGAGGACTACTGTTGTAGCCTAAATCAAGTTGACATAAAATTAGCCTGCCCAGTATGTTTGATTCTGGATAAAACAAAGAACAAAGCAGCAATGGACAATTTTGCAGAAATTTCTGAACTGTAACAACACTGTAAGTTATGTGGGGAAAGAAATCATGAGGCTTATACAAAATTATGTCTTCACCATGCCTTAAAATGGTTCAGAGGGAAAAAAAAAAAGTGTAATCCCCAGAAAAAAGGTGTCTGTAAATTTAAAGCCAAACCAGTGTTAAAGGATTTGTTTTATAGTCAATAAAAATATAAAGTAAAAGCTGATCTGTGGGTGAATAATGCCTTTAATCCCAGCACTTGGGAGACAGTGGCAGATAAATCTCTGTGAGCTCTAGGCCAGCCTGGTCTACAGAGCGAGCTCCAGGCCTAGTGTTATATGCCTGTAATCCTAGCACTTGAGAACCTGAGGTAAAAGAACCCTGAGTTCAGGGTTAGTCTGAGCTTAAGTACTAGCAAGACATGTCTCTTTAAAATCAAAATCAGTTAGATGTGGTGTATACCCTGTCTACATTCTTGGTGAATCTGTACCAGCTGGAGAGGGTTCAGGATATATATAGGGCTGTTAAAAAGCTCACTCTGTAGACCAGCTGGCCTCACACTCATAGAGATCTTCCTGCATCTGCCTCTCAAGTGCTGGAATTAGAGGTGTGTGCCACCACGCCCAGCAAGGTGTATGAGTGTTTTGCCTACATGTATATCTGTGCATGATATATGGATGCTAGGAATCAAACCCAGGTCCTTTGAAAGAGTAGCCAGTGCTATTAACCATTGAGCCATCCTCTCCAACCCCAAGAACACAGTATTTAGAAGTATGTAGAACGGGTTCAATCCCAAGCCCACCCTTTACCAGCTCCCTGGCTGCCAAGCAGTTGCTTCTCTGAGCCAAGCCTACATTCTTGGTGAATCTGTATGTGAAAGGGCTCAGGTGAGAATCCAGTCAGCATGCTAAAGTGTTTAAAGTGCTTCCTAATTGCTGGTGTATAAGAAGTGCTGGAAAATGATGGTTTTTGTTGGTACAGTGTTATTGAGTCACCTCGGTGTTGCTTAGATTCTTATTTTGTATTTTTCTTTCCTGATCCAGGCGTGACCAAGGGGTTTCTGGGGACCAAGTCTCCATCATGGTTGATGGGGTCCAGGTTGCGCTACCTTCATACGAAGAAGCTGTATATGGCAGTTCTGGTCATTGCATGCCACCGGCTGACCCCAGAGTACAGATCGTTCTGTCGGAAGGGTCTGCACCTAGTGGGAGGAACATGCCAAGGGAGCAGCAGCTGCAGGGCCAGGGGGCCTGCTCCTCTGTGGGTGGAGAGGACGAGGCCCCGGGCCATTCTGGGCTGTGTGAAGCCTGGGGTTCCCAGGGCTCAGAGACTGTGATGGTGCACCAAGCAACCACGTCTTCCTGGGTGGCCGGCTCAGCGAGCAGCCGGCCACCACACAAAGACACTGCAGATTCGGAGAACAGTGACATACAAAGCCTTTTATCCCTCACATCAGAGGAGTACACAGATGGTAAGCGGTCCTTGCTAAACATGATCACTAGCTGTTAAAATCCTTGCTGGGAATGAGGAAGCCCTCTGGGCCACTCTGATAATTAGTATATGTACACCCCTCACCCCCCCTCCAAAAAAAGGTAACAGCCGAGTCTACAAAGTAGGATTTGGTCCTCAGAATGGCAGGTAAAGCTTTGGGCTCTAGTAGGGAGACTTCATTGTTACCTATGAATTGTGATGGCTCTAGAGTCTAATACTGTTCACAGCCATAGGCTCTGCTAAACCAGCTGGATAGGGTTCAGGATATATATAGGGCTGTTAAAAAATTTTGTGTTCATGAAAGGCAGAAAATAAGGAGACCTTGGACTGAACTGCATGTCTTGTAGAGAAGACAGCTGCTTCATTTACATGGGAGAGTATTGCTGGTTTCCTTGTGCTGTCCATTTCAGTTAAGTGTGACAGTGAATGGTAGGTATTTATGACGGTCCCCATTTTACAGATGGAGAAAATGAGACCCAGTTTCACTTGTTATTTATCCACTGGTAATTGACAGCTGAGATTTAAAACTAAATGACTGTGCCTCTAAGTCAGCTTTTTAAAAAAGTACTTATGTATCCAGTGTTCTACCTTCAGGGCACCAGATCTCATTACAGAAGGTTGTGAGCCACCAGATGGTTACTGAGAATTGAATTCAGGACCTCTGGAAGAACAGCCAGGACTCTTCTGAGCCATCTCTCCAGCCCTAAATCAGCATTTTTAACCTTACAGTGCCATGATGGCTCCCAGGTGACTAGCTCCTCTGTGTCAGACTAGCCACAGAGTGCAAGTGACTGCCTACTGACAACCCACCTTTGCTGGAGACTGCAGAATTTAACTATAATTCAAATCTGTCACTTTAAGGAATATCTATAGGTGAAATCCCAGTGTAGTTCTAGATTCAGAGAAAATGTGGAAGCTCACTGTTGATAGTAGCGCTTTCTGCCTTTCTGAAAGAGCCCCAGAGGAAACTTCACAAATCCTGGTATCCTGGAGAGTCCATGTCTAACACTTAGAAATGTGTCTATCAGTAGCTTATCTTTCTTTGTTGGAGAAAGATGGCAAGGGCCCTGTAATAACTGACCCAGTTTGGATATGGCAGTCAGTGACCTCTGGACCCTCAGGCACATGTATCATGAGATGTGGCTAAGAGCACATGGCATCCTTTATCCTTCCTCAGGAGCAAAGGAGGTTGCCTGCTCTTCCTTGATGGCTACTGGTTTGTGTTTTTTGTTTGAGGGCTTTTGTTTGTTATTTTGTTGTTTTCAGAGACATGGCCTCTCTGCATAGTCCATGCTGCCTTAGAAGCCATTGTCCTCCTGCCTCAGCCCCCCAACTGGCTGAACACAGCTGTCTACCATGTGCTAGCTTACGTAAGCTTTCTATTTTTAATGATAGGGTCTCACTATGTAGCCTTGGCTGGCCTGAAACTCACTATGCAGACCAGGCTGGCCTCAAAAACACAGAGTGACCTGCTTCTGCCTCCAATTACAAATAATTCTGCTGGAATTAAAAGTAGGTGTCATCATACCTGGCTTGAACAGACCTTTTTGAAAGCTCCATCTTGTGTTTGGTGCCAAATGAAGTTTCAGGTCTGACTCAAACAGGAAACATGCTCTCTGCTGCATGGAGTATCAGTTGGAAAGACAATGGAGCCTGCATTGGAGACATTATGGAACCAGTATTTGTAGTGCTAGCCAGATATGTTGCATCAGGCCTGCAATCCTAGCATTTCAGAGACTGAGACAAGAGGACCACAAGTCCAAGTTAGTTGAACTGCATAGACCCTGTCTTTAAAATAAAGAAATAAGGCCAGCAAGATGACTCAGTGGGTAAAGGCACTTGCTACCAAGCCTGCTGATCTGAATTTGATCCCAGGGCCCCACATGGCAGAATGAGAACTAACTCCCAAAGTTGTTCTCTGACCTGCAGTTACAGACGCTCATCATCACGTATTCCCTGCAGTGTGCTTTGTACACACACATTTTTAAAAATGGATAGCAATAAAGTTTAAAAATACAATAATGATAAAACAGCTGAAGAAATGATGTCATAATGAGGCATTCAGAAAACAAGACACCTGAGACTGATATCCTAGGAAGTCAGGAGCTTGACGCATGGGTCTACCTTCTCCCCTCGTCATAGGAGAAGACCCAAACCCAGAGAAACAATGTGATTTGTCCAGGTTCACAGAGATGGCAGGTGGCCTTAAGGAAATGCTGGTACTTAAGAAGGACTTTGTGGCTGCCTAGGGAGAATTGAAAGTAACTAGACCAGCAGAGAAGGGAGACAAAGGTGTTTGAATGCCAGGCTCAGCATTGAGATTTCATCACACAGGCAGTTGGAGAGATGAGGCAGAAAGCAAGAAGTTCTTAATAGCTTAGATGTGTGCTGCAGAGCGTTATTCCTTAAATGGGGGCCGTTGGGAGGAGAACTGAGAGACAGCTCTCAGTGACTACTGTTCTTCTTAAATGGGGGCCGTTGGGAGGAGAACTAGAGACAGCTCTCAGTGACTACTGTTCTTAAATGGGAGCCGTTGGGAGGAGAACTAGAGACAGCTCTCAGTGACTACTGTTCTTCTCTCCCCACCTCTCTGCAGATATCCCACTGCTGAAAGAAGCATGAGGGCTGCCGTGGGCCCCTCCTCTCTGCCCGTCCTCTCTCCTCCTGTGGGTTTGAGTACCATGTCCTCTCCAGTTGTCCCACCTGGATGCCTGAGCTGCCACCTGTGTATCTGTGTGTACCTGAGGGCCTACAGGCCACCCCGCTGGATACTCAAGGAAGATTCTCACCGTCTGCCCACTGAGCAGCTGGAGGACCTGGCTCTTTGCCTGGCCCAGCCTTCCCATCTGTCAGGGACATGTCTGAATGTGCTGGATTGAACCCTCCCTTTCCCGAGCCACTGGGTCCCTTCCAGCCAGCTCTCTGGTGGCAGCCACAGCCATGAGGGCCTGAGCACTGCTGTGTTTACTTGTGCCTTCCCCACCCTGTCCCGTTCCCCGTATGCAGGTGGGTTGCTGTCCGCAGGCCTTAGTGGTGATTGCCACCTGTACACGGGCTGGGACTGGGGCTGCAGAAACGGATTGACCAGTAAGGCCCTTAAAGCAGGAGTGAGTGACTCTTATTGGGGCCAGAATGTGGGTCCCTGAGCTTGCCCTGTGTGTAGACACTGATGGCATCTTCCTTAACTGAGGGTAGGTTTGGGAAGTCATATCAAACCTGCCCAGCACTCAGCCGTCCAGCTTGGGTGCAGGTTCCTGGCTCTTTTGAGTTTCCAGGAAGCACCCAGAAGACCTGTGGGAGGGAAGAAGGTTGTCGGATAATGATTGTCTTCCTAATATGCAAGTTCTTACTTCCTGCTTCCAGCATTGGCTGCCTTGGCCTTGGTTTCTGTTCCTGGGTAAGGGGAAGTTGCATGCTGTCTCCTGGACTTTGTCCTAGGTAGCTCTGGCTTCCTTGCAGCCCACAGAACCCCGAGATTTGCTGAGATGCCAACAAAAGCTCATCTGGGTTTTGGCAGTCTGGGCAAGTTGCCCATTTCTAGGTTTGTGGTGATGGAGGGGAGGTTGAGAGGTATAGACCAAGTCCCCTGTGGCTGCAGGCAGCTGGGGCGAGGTCCCAAGGATCCTCCTCACCACAGTCATGTGCCTTAGTGACTATGCCCAGAAAGTGGCCTGCTGTGTCGCTGCCTCCCTCCTCTGCTCTCTTCTCCAGGCCTTCCACTTGTCGTTGCTGACAAGCCACTCTATCCTTCCTGCAGAGCTAAGAAATGATTCCCAGCACTCCTGGCTTCACCAGCTGGTGTGGTTGGTGGGTACCCAGAAGCCTGACTTGAAGGCCCTGGGAGCGTGAAAGTGCTAGCATTGAAGGGGTATTCTGGGCATTGTGCTGGACCTCCCGTGGCACCGAATGTGGTGTTAAGGAATGTGTGCTTCTCTCTCTCTCTCTCTCTCTCTCTCTCTCTCTCTCTCTCTCTCTCTCTCTCTCTCTCTCTCTCTCATTCTTTGCCTCAAGGCTGGGGACACGTCAGCCAATCCTGGACTACACCTATGATGTTTCTCCCTGAGCCTTTCTGGGGTGGTAAAAATAATAAAAACCCCAGTGTATTTATAGTTCCTGACCTATCAGGGTTAGTTAGCTCCAGGCATCAGTGGCCTCAGATAGGGGAATGGCGTCCTCTCACTCACTGCCTCCACTTACAATGCACTTTAGTCCCTGTCATGCCTGGCTTCCTGCCACCCTGTCTTCTTTCCTCTCAGGGTAAGGGCAGTGCCTGCTTCCCTGTTGGCCACTCCCACATCCTCCACCCAAGAGGCCAGTCTATTGTGTCCAGTGTCCAGGCAGGTGTGGTTGGCTAGGAATGACTGGAGAAGGTGCTAGAACAAGACTAAAGTCCAATGGAAGACAGTATACACTCTTAGCAGTTGCTGTCATACACCACCTGGGGGGTGGGTTCCGAGGCGCCAAGCTACCGCTCAGTGACTCCCCTTTATCCTTAGTGGTGCCCGCACTCCTCGAGAGAAGGGAGGCAGGGGGGCAGGAGTCTGCTGAAGGAGCCTTCTGCTTACTGCTCCTCGAAAAATCTTAATTCTGCTCTGGGAGTTTTTAAGAGAAAAATGGAAGGTCCTTCCTTTTACTGGGTCTTTACTCTGGGTTTTTGCCCCTTAACAGATTGCACTTTTTGTTTTGGAGTTATTTAGCCACAAGGTGACTGGCTTGACCCTTGGGTAAAAAGAACCTCCTGGTGCCTCCTTCCCTCTCCCCATCCATTAACCTTCTCTCTGGGGATCACAAGACCAGGCTCATCTAACTGGAGGACAAAAGGATCATGTTCCCCATCATCCAGTCACTAGTTTTGATGTCTGTTCTGTGGAGTTTCCCACCTACTGTTGCTGGCATCTGTGACTTCTTCCTGTGTTTTTCTTCTAAAGCAATTTCTTACTATCAGCCATATACTGTGGCTTTGGGGACATCTGGACTTTGTCCCTTACAGAGGGACTGTGGCACTTAATTGCCTTGAGGTGGAGCCTAGATAGAAACAGGGTCAGTGGCAGGTGCCAGACTGTTGGGCAGAAAGATGCTTAGAGCGGGTGGGAAGGAGCTGTGCAGCCCACTGTGCTGGGCTCACCTCCAGGGGCGTCCTGCAGACTGGTCCAGAAGAGGCCATCATCACCAAAGGACTTTACACAGAGTTTTGGGTTGTTTGTTTGGGTTTGGGAGATGCTTTTGCTTTTTCATACTTGTGCTGACTCAATGCAGGTTTTATATCCTGGTGACAGTCTTATCAGTTTTCAAGGGCCAGAATGGTAAAATAAATAAAATAGAAAATTCCGTCCCTCCTTGCCTTAATTTAACAGGTAGGCTTTCTCTGCCCAGCTCTGTATTTCGTTCCTGTATTCCTGTTCCCTGGGTGAGAACTGTGAGATGGGTGGAGTCCTGGCCATGCTGTAGATTTGTTTGCTGAAGGCATTTCAATGTACATTCTACAAGCACTCCATTTAAAGTCTTCCCCATTCATCTTGCCCTCCTCCCCCACCCCCAGCTTTATAGTATGTAGAGAAGCCAGGCTATAAGACAAAGGTATACTTTTCCTGCTTTGTGAGTGGCTGAATGGGGATAGATGGCGCCTTTTTCTTCCCAATCCCATCAGAGCTCCTGAAACACTTGGCTTCCTACATAACAATGTCTCCTCTGTTTCTGAGGAACATTCCAGAATAGAAAATGGAATATGCTGCAGACATTTCTAGATCCTTGCTCCCTTCCTCATCCTTAAAGAGCAAAGAGGACCTAGAAGGGACATGTAGCATGCCTACTACACAGCTTAATTCCAGGTGTGCCTGTGCCTGGGCAATGTGGCTGGGTAGCATGCCTACTACACAGCTTAATTCCAGGTGTGCCTGTGCCTGGCAATGTGGCTGGGTAGCATGCCTACTACACAGCTTAATTCCAGGTGTGCCTGTGCCTGGCAGTGTGGCTGGAGCCTCCTCTTGTGGGTCCTGCTGGGTCTTCTGCAGCCTTCAGAGAATATTTTCTTGGCAGATGCTTAGGCAGAGAGATGTGGTAGCTGGTTCTCTGGAAAGCCGAAAGTGGTGGGGCCAGTTTTTCTGAGATGTGACTTCTTTCCAGCTGAAAACCTAGTAGAGTTTTGAGCAAAGAGCCCCTCCCCCCAAAATAAAAACCTCTTCCAATAACAGAGCTCACCATGGGGCATCTGGGGATAGAGCATTTAGATTGCCAAGTAGGGAGAGGAAATGACTGTGGGCTGCATGGCTGTATGCACACTGGCCTGGCTTCTTAAGGTTGCGCACCACTATGGGATCCTTTGCAGAATGGTACTCATACAATGGTTTAAAACAACACACGCATAATTGACTGTGCAGGATGTCAACCAATCTGGGTTTGCTTTATTTTATTTTTTATATATATTTTTTGGTATCCTGTACATTGCAGTGGGTATGAAGATAGTATTTTAATATTTGTACAAAGTTTAATTTAATTTTAATTGTTCTATGTATATAACTGCATTTCTAAATAATAATAAAAGTTCTTATGAAGGCAGTTTTGGGAGATGTAGTCCTTTATAAAAGTTTTTACAGAACTCTAGATGATTGAGAAGAGTAGGTATGGGGGTGAAGCTCTAGTGTAGTGTTAGAGCCTCTTGCCTGGCAATGTGTGAAGCCCTAGGTTCAGTCTCCAGTACCACAAGAGGGAAGAGAGGGGAGGAGAGGAGCAATCAGTTGGTAAAGTGTGTTTGAGCATGCTGACCTGAGTTCAGATCCCCGGCACCCACATGAAAAGCTGAGCGTGGTGGTATGTTCCTGTAGCCCTGAAATGAGGACAGCCAATCTAGCTAATTAGTGAGCTCCAGGTCAGTCAGTCCCCAAAAATAGGTAGACAGCAATAGAGGAAGACACTTGATGTCATCCTTTGGCCCCTGCACGTACGTAGGTACGTACGTACGTACGTACACACACACACACACACACACACACACACAATGTGTTCAAGAGCTCATGAAGAGATGTTGCCTGGCACAAGGTTAAGGAAACAGAAGAGATTCATAAACTATTCATAAATCTCTCATTAAGAACATAGAACCAGTGGGTTGGTGGTTGACTGGATGAGGGGGCCTCTCGGGGTACACAGACCACTGCTGTCAGTGCAGAGGAAGATGGTCCTGGGAGAAGGACCACAAGCTGTCATCAGTGGAAACCCATTGTCTCTTGATCCTCTCAGGGTACCAACCACTGTGCTTCAGTGTGTTGTGATTGATATAAACCGGAACCTACATGAGGGTGGGATGGTGTACTTGGAGAAAGCCTTCAAACTAAAATATAGCTGAGCTGCGTGAAGGAGCCTAGGCATGATCCTGGACAAGCTATGTGATGCAACCTATGTGTGGGCACAAAGGGAGCCATGTGCACATGCAGTGTGAGAAGATGCTCCTGAACTTGTGCTGTATACCTTTAATGCTGCCCCTTCAGAGGCAGAGGCAAAATTGGAGGTTGAAGGCCAACCAGAGCTATGTAGTGAGACCCTGGCAGTTTACAACCTGGGGTGGGGGAGGTATATAATTCAGTAGAACATCAGAGGATGCTAGCCTGGCATCCTCAAAGCCCCAGAAGTTTGGGCCCTAACACAAGAAAAAGGTGTGGTTTAGGGAAGAAGGCAGTAAGGACATTAAAATTAAAATGAGGACAGCCGGGAGTGGTGGTGCACACAGATCTCTGAGTTTGAGGCCATCCTGGCCTGCATAGCAAATTCCAGGCCAGGCAGAAATACATAGTGAGATAGGTAGGTAGATGGTTCTATTCCTGTTGCCCAAGAAGCTATAGAAGTGATAATAGTGGTCAGGTCTCTCAGCAGCAGGCACGAGAGGAAAAAAGCAGGAACTTAGGTGTGATAAAGAAGTATTTGTGGGTCTGACAGCCTCCAAAACAATACAGAGAAACCCTGTTTCGTAAAACCAAAAAAAAAAAAAAAAAAAAAAAAAACGGGCATGCCTTTAATCCCAGCAATAGGGAGGCAGAGGCAGGCGGAGAGGCCGGGCTAGTCCGACAGCCTCCAAAACAATACAGAGAAACCCTGTCTCGTAAAACCAAAAAAAAATATATATATATAGTAACAAAGTATCTATGGAGTATATTCTAGGCTCAGTCTACACTCCTCTAGTCCCCAGCAACTTGCTAGGGTCAAGGTGGAGATGGTAAGTGGGGGTAGTGGAATGATGGTCAACCTGAGATTTCCAATGATGAAATGGGCTCAAAATTATAAATGTTGGGTACTGGTTTAAGGCTAGCTTGGAGCCGGGCATTGGTGGCGCATGCCTTTAATCCCAGTGTGGGAACACCAGACCGTGAGCAGAGACCCACTTCCCCTTCTGCCTGGGAGTAGGCAGCTGTAAGACAATGTTTAGTAAAAACATGTTTACTAAAAACGATACAATAAGTTCCTGGCCACTTCCCCTTCTGCCTGGGAGTAGGCAGCTGTAAGACAATGTTTAGTAAAAACATGTTTACTAAAAACAATACAATAAGTTCCTGGGAAAGGCCTTCCCACGGAAACCGCCCTGACCTCGACCTTGTCCAAAGACTAACCGCACCTTCAAAAACCCACACACATCCACCTCTGGTGTCAGAGCAGAACCAGCCAGGGGAGAGGAGAGAGCAGAAGCTTCTCTGGTGGGAGCCTTTCTTAGGAAGTTTTCTTGAGCCTTTTTGGGGCCTGCTTAAAGTTTTCTTTACATCATTGAACAAGTCTCTGTGTTGTCAATCCCCGACACCCTCCATACGTTCTCGGACACAGGCCACGCAGCAGACGTGACATCCCAGCACTCGAGAGGCAGAGGCAGGCAGATCTCTGAGTTCGAGAACAGCCTGGTCTACAAGAACTAGTTCTAGGACAACCTCCAAAGCCACAGAGAAACCCTGTCTTGAAAAACCAAAAGATAGATAGATAGATAGATAGATAGATAGATAGATAGATAGATAGATAGATAAAAGGCTAGCTTGGGCTTTATAGCAAGAGCCTATCTTAAACAACAAAACCCAAAATGGCCTAGCAAGCATATAGTCTTGTGTTCTGTCCCCGTACTGCAATAATGATTAAAACAAAACTGAGAAGTACTTTAATCCTAAGGTCACACTGCTATGAAGTGATGGGTTCAAACATGACTATTTTAGCCCACATTCTTGATGTATGCCTCAGATAACTCTGCCCATAACCTCAGGCTGCCTCTTGATGGGAGAACAGAAAACCACTCAAAACTAGCTCTACCAGGACAGCTTGGAGGTTGTTACCCTTCACCTTCTGGCACTGGCTTCAGTATCCAAAGCAGGAAAGACAAACAGACCCTGCAGTGAGTGGTCATTTACTTCCCAGCTTTGCAGATGCGGGAACTGATGCACCCAGCTATGTGCTGACCAGCCTGTTGGTAGCAGAGCAGGGATGGAGCTAAGCACCAGGGTGTGTGTGTCCCACCACCCTCAACAAGTCTACATTTCTGCTTGGCTTTTGAGGGGAACTTTTTTTTTTAGAAAAAAAAGGTTTAGACAATTTATTTTGATCCTGTTTTTCCCTCCCCCAAATCCTTCTCACTTCCAATACCCACACAACTTTGTTTTCTCTCATAAAAGGAGGAAAAAAATCAAATACACCCATGAAACCATAAAAATAAAAGTCAAAATAAGCAAAAGATAATAAGACCAAAAGAAAAAAAGCCCAAACAAAGCAAGATTAAACCAAAAAGTCTATAAAAATACCATTGAGTTCATTTTATGTTGGCCAGCTTTTGAGAATGGGGCCTGCCCTGAGGTGTGTGGTTAATATACTCAATGAGACTTCACTGGAGAAAATGGATTTTTCCTTTGCCAGCGGGTTTTAACTGCAGATAGTTTCTTGATCAAGGGTGAGAACCCTTATTGCTGGGACCCTGTCTGGCTTGAACTTGTGCCTCTCACCAAGGACTTTGGGATTCATGTGTGCATCGGTCCTGTTGTGTCTGGGAGATGCTGTTTCCTTGGAGTCGTCATTACCTTCATTCAGCTCTTAACGATCTTTCTGCCCACATTGGTCTCTGAGCCCATCAGAGGGTGGGGTGGGGGATTGGTTAAAACAGCCTGGTTAAAGGAGTGAGTGCCCCTAAGGTTCTCCCTTCATCTACTGCAAGAGGCAGCTTCTCCCATGAGAGCTGATGGAAGGCACTGATCTACGGGTGTAGCAGGTCATCATTAGGTTTTCCCCAGGCCTATGGCCTATTTAGTCTTGGAATCTTGGCCACCTTATCAATGGGCTCTATCATGGGATGGACCTTAAATCTAACCAGAAAGTGGTTATTTACTCCTGCAACTTGCAGGCAGGCTGTTGTAGTAGATTGCAGGGATTGTAGCTGGGAGATACCTTTTGCCTCTGGTAGCATGCAGAGCACCTCTCAGTACCTTGAATGCTAGTCAATAGGGGTGATGCTTCTAGTCCGGACACCAGCTCAATTTCCCTGTGCTTGATGATATGTATATAAGTTTCGTCTTCAGCAATAGGACCTTCAAGTTGTGGAGAGTAACCAATAGCCTTGATCTGGTTGGCTTTTGAGCAAAGCCTTCATCCTCTCCAACTCAGCTTCCCTCTGCAGAGCAGCCACTGCCACTGCTTGCTTCAGGGGAGTCAGCTACCTCAGACAAGTTCAAAGGAGGTTTGAGCAAAGACTCAAGTTGTCTTGAGGGAGCTCATCATTCCCTCTCTGGCTTCCTCAGATAAGGCAGAGAGAAAGAAGAGCCCAGCATGGGTTGGGAACATGTCCCAGAGTCCTAAACCTAGGCAAAGCCTTCACTTAAAACCTGCCTCCAGCCGGGCGGTGGCGCACGCCTTTAAACCCAGCACTCGGGAGGCAGAGGCACGTGGATCTCTGTGAGTTCGAGGCCGGGCTGGACCGATAGCCTCCAAAACAATACAGAGAAACCCTGTCTCGTAAAAAACAAACAAACAAACAAAAAAACCCTGCTTCCCCTCTTCCAGGTTAGACCTCAGGGAGAAAACTTTGACTGGTCTTCAGCCTGGGCTACAGCAAAGGAAGGAACCTTCTGCCAGGCAGCCTCTGTCCCCTACCCTGGAAGTGGCGGGTTCTGCTGCTCTAAGAGAATAGAGCGGAAGGAACTGAGACTTGCCTTTACTATGACTGGTCAGAAGGTACTGGGGAACTCCCACTCAAAATGCCAAGGCCCAGCTGGAAGGAGAGACTCTATTCCCAAAGGCCTTGAACATAGAACAAGGAGCCAGAAGGGGATCTGAACAGCCCACCCCATGGCGGGAGTTGGTAGCCTGTCTTCTCAACACTAGCCCAGAGTAAGAGAAACACTGTCCAATCCTACCCACGAACTCACGAAGTCCAGCCTTCCATGCACAGTCTCAGGTCTGTCTTCAGCAAAGCAGATGTTATTGCTAATACGCTTGTGTTCCAACAGGGACAGTGGTCTGTGAGAAAGCCACTTTTGCAGGCACAGACTATCCATTTCACAAGTGTAAAAAGCAAAGCTCAGACAGGTCCAAGACCACATAAGTAGCCA